AAAGGGGATTTCTAATATCCGGCTCCGAAAATTTGTAAATATTGATTTGGGGCCTGTGTAAATCGAAAGTAATTTTACAGTTTATTGCTTTAAATGTCCGCGTGTTAATTATCTTGTCCGCTGGTTTGTCTTATGGGATTCTGATGTTTATATGTGATGCAGTTCTCCCACACTTTTTATAGAAAGCTATTTTATATTTTCCTGCCGATTCAGATCACGTAATAACTTAAAAGCACGCCCCATGCTATTAAATTACAATGACATCTATTATTATTTTCGTAACAATCAAGCGAATTTTTCTCCGATTTTATGGATTTTTTTTAATGTATTGCCACTAGGTTGTTTTGTTCTGCTGTCATTTACAAAAGCTCCAGTGATATAGTTTATAAAGAAGTAGGCTTGCAGTCTATTAGTTACAGTTAAAAGCGTGTATAACTATGAACAACGCTTATTCAGAAGGTAGTGGTTATTTCTGGTCTTGTTATTTGTCGATTTATGTCGCTTTTTGCTTTATTACGGTTTTGTCTTCATTGATATTATACATACGTTACAGTATTTCTATGCTTTATTCTCAGTCAACTCATTCTCAATCCTACGCATTTTCAAGTTAGCAAGATGGACTGAGAAGGCGGCTGTCGGTATGGGTGGCTCGGGGACTACTAATGAAGTTATTGTTCTCGCGTGGTTTGGGAGCCATTGTTATTTTAGTTTGGGGCCCGCCCTTCTTAGTCCTGAATTAACATCATTTCTGATGAATTTGGAAGGTTGCCACAACCTAACTTTTGTGAATAATTTAGAAACATGCGATTATAGTCTAGAAAGAATCTACCGTCAGGTTATTTTCAAAACATTTCTCGCCCGCCCGCCAGCGCCCCCCCCCCCCTCCTTCACACACACAGACACCCACCAATGACCCACAGCACCCCGTGTCCGTCCCTGCAAGTAAAACAGTGATGTTTGACAATTTTCAGGACGACTGATGGTGGTAGACGATTCGTCGCACAGACACTTTATGAACGACAGTGTATACTTGCAACTTGCATCCACAAAAGGCCACCTTTGAAAGTTATTCGAAACGTAAGACGTTGGCTTACTAACCTAGAGGCCCCGTGTTAGATCCTGTGTCAGTGGTGCAAGACGGGGGGGGGGGGCGGTAAAGGGACAACGCATAGTCGTTCTGATGGGACGACAAACATGGGTCATGTGTATACGTGCATCTAAAAGATCACTTCATAGTTTGAATCCGATGTAAGAGTATGCCGTAGTAACGGTGTCAGGACAAAATTTCCCACATATCACACTGTCGGAGTAGAAAAGTAGAACACTAATCCCCAATTCATTTCATTTCATTTGAAGTATTTCGGTTTTATAGACCTTAGTGGTGGTTTGCAGTTTCTCATCGGAACATGGTCCCGACAAAGGTATTCTAATAAACCCGTGGTATTGTACACTAGGGAGCTTACAGAGATTGTATGGGTATGATGCATTAAACAAGTTCCAAAATTATGTACGTGTGTATCTATCCAATTGCGGCCATTGTCAGAATAGTAACCTGTCACCATGAGTCAGTATGACTAGCCAATGAAAGAAGCAGCTCGATTCTAGATTACAAATCTTGCTCCATAAATAACAATTCAAATTCTACTAAGAGGGATTCCAGACTTTCACTGGTAGATCAAAAGGTTTGGGTAATAAAGACTATGGGGACATAACTGATCGAGATCACCGTGGCCGAAACTGGCCGCGACATTGATAGCCAGCCACCATCCACTACTGTCAGAACCTGCTGTAACTTGTAAGTTTTCACTTTATCATCAATAATCATTAATGCACCATTCTCTTCCCCCATCGTTTCTCTGGTGACCATTCATCACGTCATCTGCGTTAAAGGCAACTTTAACGGGCGGCTAATTATCATTGTTCAACACGACAAACTATGGGATTAACAAAACTGCCATTAAGGGATTGCTCAGGGAAAACACGTCGTTAACTGATGAAGACGTGAACTGTGTCATGTTAAGAGACGACAGAACACACATATCCCACATATCTCCGATAACTTTCTTGGGTTATGCCCCCCCCCCCCCCTAGCGTTAACGTATAATTAAGGTTGTGAACCCTCCAGGAGCCATAATGTTTGGTCCGATTCAGTTGAAACTTACGTCATTATAATATGTTAAAGATCTGAAGATCTTGCAGATCGATTTTGGTCTGTATCAGACCGCTTATACTTTCTGGGTTATGGCCCTTGCATTTTACACAAAATGTGAATTGTACAATGTTTGTAGATCTCTAGTGCCACCAATGTATGTTATATTTAGATGAAACTTAAAATATATATGTTTCGGATCAATAAAATAGGAGAATGCTGTGTGTCTTTATCACAAAAAAAGGATATTTCATTGCCGGACAGTTGACCATCTTGAAAATGACGACCATCTTGAAAATGACAACCATCTTGGATGTTCGAGTGGGTATTGGCTTGTTCAAAATAAAAGTCCTCAAGGAGCTTGAATGTGTCAATTTTGATACGCGTATACACATTTGAACGATTACCCTTTTTTATTGGCTGTTGGACTAAGGCATTATTGACATCTAAATTCCCGAGACAAGGATTTGGAAACAGACTTTAGAATTCCTTTGGTCGGCATTGCTTTTGAGTTTGAATTGAATGTAAAATTTATATAATTTCATTTAGGTTTTTTTGTTGTTGGTTTTTTGTTTTTGTTTTGTCTTCTTGTAACCTACACTAGTCAACTTCTGTTTTAAATCCAAAATATCTAAAAGGAATGACATCACATTTTGGTTATTAGAAGGTTAAATACATTTTTAGGGTGTTTGTTTCATATATTCGGACTATTATATTAAAGTTTACGGCTTCTGACAGCAAGCTCTTCTATTTCCTTCTTAAACAATAGTCGGTTAACTACAACCATGTTCCATCAGCGCGCGTAACTCCTTTGGTCGGCATTGCTTTTTGAGTTTTGAATTGAATGCAGAATTTATATGATTTCATTTGTTTTGTTTTGCTTTGTTTTGTCTTTTTGTAGCCTACACTAGTCAACTTCTGTTTAAAATCCGAAATATCTAAGAGTAATCCCCATGGCCCTTCAAATAATGACTTCACATTTGGTTATTAGAAAGTAAAATACAGTTTTAGGGTTTTTTTTCATACATTCGGACTTCTGCTTATATCAAAGATACCACTTCTGACAGTGAGCTATTCTATTTTTTTGCTATAGTCAGTTAACCACTATCGTGTTCTATCAGCGCGCGTAACAGAAATTTAAGGATTCTAGGCCAATTTTACCATTGGATCTATAAAGTAATTTGATTGTTTTTGGTAAAATGAGCAAATTGTCTCTCATACGTAAAGATCTATATTACATTTGATAAATGAGGAAGGAGATTGTGGAGCTATTTTTAAAGAGTTGTTAAACCGTCATCTAGCTATGGGACTATTTATCCCCATTCTCTTCCCATTTACCCATCGTTTATTCTGTCATTAGTCATTCTAACTAGAAATGACCAAGCACGACTCTGTATATTAACTAGCTAACTTTAAGTTAAACGAGAAAAATAATGTACACATTGCAAGACTCTGAAACTCGTGGACTTCTGGTGCCGTATCGTGAATTTCTCTGTAATTGAATACATTAATATAAAGTGACGATGCGCCATTTGCATCTTTCGCTAGAATATCAAATTTGTCACGCAAATATGTTTTCAGATTGATTATTTAATATTCATTTAAGAAAACAATATCAAAATACTAACGCTAAGTAATGTTCCGGCATTGATTCCATCGGATTTTTTTGTTTTTAAAAAAAAGGCCAACCAGTATACATTCTTGCGACAACAAAATGGCGACTGGCTTATTATAAATTTCAATTTCACATATCTTTGTAAATACTGAACGGAATTGGGCCATTCATCTTTCACACTATTGTAGTTTGCAAGTGATTCATATAGCGCTAAATTGGCGCACCGGGAGTTTAAACAATGTTACGGATTATTATCTGGGTATTTGTGCTATAGTTTGAGGGCGAGTTAAAGCAAAACACTTTTTTTCATTATTCTACTCATTAACACGGCGAATCTGTCTTACATTACAGACAATTACTATTCAACTAGGTTCTTTTTCTTATTCTGCTCCAATTTTATTTTCAATGAATGAATAATTCATAACACACAATCCCCCCCAATATTCCTTTTATGTCTATTTGCCTAATTTAAAAATGGTTTAACTCCTTTAAGTAGTTAACAAGACCCGATCATTACTTCTTCATGAATATAGATTGGTCAATTTCATCATCTAGCTTTCCGTCTTAATGAGAATTATTCTATACCATCAACTGTCAAATACAGAAGAAGAAACCGACTAAAACAATCTCTATTCCACGTGAATTTCGATTTTTTTAAAATGTTTTATTTCTTTTCATTTCATTTTATCGAGTAAAATAACAACTAGTACGAATAAGCTGTTGAAACTTTTTGTAGCGGGTCATTATGGCTTCGCACAGTTCAGTCCTGACAATCTGAATGCAGCAACCACGCACTGTAGCCGATTAAATATTCCTTTTTTTATATTGCGCTGTGCAACACTGATTCTCATAAGAAATGAAATGAAATGAAATGGGGTTTAACGTCATACTGTTCTGCTCCTATACTGGGCTAATGAAGACGGGCATACGCCATACAGTGTGCTATGAGGGAAATTTTGTCCGGGCAGCGGCACTATCGCCTACTCTTATATCGAATTCCAACTGCCAAGGGATATTTTACGTGCATTCCAATGTATACACGGGACCTCGGTTTTTCGTCTCATCCGAAGGACTAGACAGCTGTCCTTGTCAGGCCCTCCGTCCTGCATGATTCTCATAAGACATTGGTCTGTCCACATCATCTTCACAACAGACAGCGTGTGCTTTTTCATTTCATTAAAGGTGTATTGGCTGGTGAAGTTCAGAAGAATGTGTATAACACAATAACACAGTGCATTCATCGAAATGATTTTATTCATTCGTGAGGCTTTGGACAGAAAAAAAGACAAAAAGTTGATCATTATGAACATTCACACCAATTCTATGATGAATTTGATTTTAAATGAAGTTTCTCTACAATGTAAAAAAAAGTTACAATTAAATCGCCAATTCTGTGATGTTTTTACTGCATAAATGAAGTTATTGGGACATGCATTATTATCCTATTCTTACAATATTCCTACTCATTTTACTCAAGTGAAACGTCTTATTAAGATTAGGCTATGTATTATTCTAGACGGAAAAGGTGAGGTATTGTATTTATTACAAGGACAATAATATTAGTATATCTTGAGACTGTAACAATTAATATCATTTCAATAAAAATTAAAGGCCGCGAAAAGATGTTTGTTTGTATCACTGGGAGTACCCTAAAATAGGTTTCAAAACATATTAATAGAAACAAATAACAAATTACTGAGGCAACCAATTTAACAGCCATCTACTCGTCTACTCACTTATAATTCGGTAATAACGTCATTAGTCGCATCTACTAAACAACATTAAAATAACGTTGTAATGTTAACTGGGTAATAATGTTCAAAATCCAGTCAAAACATATCATCAAATTATATTAATATTACTTGTGCCCACTTAGAAAAACCCGCTTGAATCTGTATTACTGTGTTACTTTATTGGACACTCACTATAAAACTCTTATAACATTTTCATTTATTTTAATAATCTACGCTCCAACAACGTCGTGCCACAAATTTCATTTTATAATACTTGCACCACTTGCACATTTCATTCACATAATGTCACAGGAAAATGTTACGCCAAACAATTTTATAAAATAAGATTTCGCAGAACGGATACTAACGTAACTTTGTCCCAACGTCGTTTTGTTAGCTGGGTAAGAATAATGGTCTCTCTAAATAAATAACAACGGCTTTAATTCATCAAGTATGCTAATTAGTTTTGGTTGATCTGGTAATAATATTTGACTACTAGATGGATACATTGCAGTATATTGATTTAAAAATGTAAAATGTGTAAAAATGCATAGACAGACTTTCTTTGTTAAAAACAGTAAAAGTTACGTGTATCACAATAAAAATCTTCATTCTCAAAAACTAACACTATACAAATGAATGATGAGCAAGACATTTGGCATTTTGACACGAATCTAAAATCTAATATACAACATCTTTCGACAAATAAAGCCCAATTTTACAGCAGAATTACACTGAAGATAGTTCCAAGAATTGTCATACAATCTAGCAAACGATAATGCCTGGCCTGTCTCTCAATAAATTTTATTTTATTCTTGAAAAGCTCCACCTGCTCCGCTGTTCAATAAGTATGTACGTAACTTTAAACCTAACGTACCTTAAACCTAAAATGGATCTTAAAACAGCAAATAAAACTATTTAGGGGTGAGTGGGGCTTAGATGGGATTTAGAACCCATATTTGCGAACCATTCGCAGAATACAGAGTCATGTGAAAACATATGTATTCATTCCAAACCTACGACAATTCCTATTCAAATTTTCTAATAATTTTGTTTATAAAAGGGGACAGAATTCTCTTTTTAATTATAAAAATCAGTCCAATATTGAATTTATTGAATTTTTGAAACCTTGAAAACAGAATAAAAAAAAGTATACACATGACATTTGTCGTTTCTTAGATTTAGAGATGGTGATAATAAATATTATGATTGAGGCCACTTTTACTTCAAATATTTAAAAACATTTGCAAGATGGAGTTCAAAAAATGTCTCCGATAAAACATACAATTAACAATATATAATCAACATTAGCAACATGCACAAACATTATGCAGAAATGCATGAATCAACACGCACACACCCACACTATGCCAATATCATTGCTTGACTGCTCTAACAAAGAGGGAGTAAAAGGCGCTCCCTTATGTACACCATTATGAAAATATTCAGAAAATATTTGGCTAATAAAATGAAATATGTCTAAAGAAAATATAATCTGAGTAACATAATGAATACAGTTTTTTCTTGTTTAAATAGTCCCCTATATATATTTGGTTTTTAATACGAAAGTTCTTATATACTAGCAATGAGATTTAAAGTGACTAAGACACTTTATGAAGATGATAAATTCCCAAATCTTGTAAAACTTGTTAAACATTAAATAAGTTAACCGGGTAAACACATTTTTTTTTTAAAATCGAAGATTCACAGTTCAGATATTGTACTTCTCGCCCCTGATATTTTTGGGAAAAAATCTAACAACTTATCCATCATTTATTGTTAGTACTCCGATAAAGATCTACATAACATGTCCCATTCCCAAATAAGTATCTTAGTCACTTTAATTTGTATCTACCATAAATATATTACATTAAAACATAAATGTATGTTGTTAGAATCACAGATACCGAATGGTTATTTGTATGAGGTCCTGTGTTTTACACAATCCAAGTTAATTCTCAAAGGTTTTCGAGTTTTAAAACTTGAGCATAAAAAAAGAAGGAAAAACGTTAAAACGATAGAAATAAAACAAAAATCTACAACTAAAACAAATCCTGTCAACTATTTCAATAATAATAAAAAATGGTTGGTAAAATTTCTCAATAACATCAATTTCATACGACAAAAAACATCACCAGCATAAAATTCTGTAGCCATGACTACCGAACATGTAACCATAGAAACAACAAATTGTATCAACACAACAATTTAAACAATCAAAACGTTATTATCTACATGGTAAAAGGAAAATATTTACAAATTTATTTTACATGTTATATCATTTATGAATAAAATGCAGTTTATTAACTAGTTAATACTAAATGGTTTTTAGGCCAGAGCGTAATGACGTAGTCAATTACTGGGTCATTTCGTACTCAAAAGATTTTTCGTATAAAAAAAAACCTACTTTAAATCCGAATCTTTACGTGGCATTTACAATGTTAAAAAAAATCGAAATCAAAGTCTGAATTTTTATTGAGAACACAAATGTTCCAGTGTATTCTAACAACAAAGTTATTGATTTTTGTTGCGCATGTGACTGTAGAGAAGAAAATAAGACGGATCTCATTAAATGAAAACATCAGAAAGGCGATCAAACACCTGCCTGAAATGTCGTCACTTTTTGTTTTATTACTACGATAATGAGATGATGAACGTTTCATCTCCAAAGAACATTTCTTGTACATTATTCTGTGAACAATAGAACTGGAAAAATTTGAATAATAATCTACTAATGTACAAGACGTCTATTAAGCGCATCAAGTAGCCACATTTACGATTCTTGTTCCAATCAGATACGAAAACAATCAACCAATCCACAAACAGTTCAGATGATTGGTACCACTTTATTTCCCTGTTACATTCCTGGTTAAGACATAAAATCACACCATTACCAATACGTTCATCCTATGAAAACAAAAAAAGAATGTGGTTAGATGCTATAACAAGGATCATAACTCTAGATGTTATTAACGGAAATTGCAGAAATTCAATAGGATTCTTCTTTTTACTAATCTAAATGACGCATACAGATTGGCAGATAACTTTTGATGTTAGACTAAGAGCGTTCACAAGGTGAAACAAAGTGAAACAAGGATTCTTCATCTCACTAATGTAAATAACATATATCGATTTTAAAACAATCGGATGATAACTTTTGGCGTCAGAGTGTTCACAAGAAATTGTGGACGACACGGGCGCGACGGCAATATTATATATATGTTGAGCGCAGATTACCCTCCTCGGTCAGATTACTCCCGCGCATGCGCGAATCTCCGTCTAATTTCCGATGAGTAATCTGCGCGCGCGAAGTGAACTTTGTCCGGACTAAAATGGATTACCGCGATGATAATTAATCCGCCTAATCTTACTCGGTATTCACTATCATTGCGTTAGTATTAGTCATTTTAATGATTACATTTTAATGAATTTTGTGACTGTCAGTTTACTGGTCGAGCAAATAGGAGCAAATCGATACGGAAAGAAAAGTATCACCGCATTTGACTACCAGAAAAGAGGAAGTAGTAGAAGGGCTTTTGAGTTATAAAGCAGTTTCCGTCGAGAGGTCAACATGACATACTTTGTGAACCTACATACGGGTCTCTAAGACTTCGTTACTAAAGTAACTACGATCGGTCAAACTATTATTACACTACAGCAAATATTTTTGACATTCAGTCACGTGGTCAGCACCGATTATGAGATACTGCTGAGTAGAATTAAAAATCTTATTTTCTAAGCACACACGATAATTATGCAGTGATTTTGAAAATTATTTCACTACAAAGACCACAGACAGGTCATATAAAATAGAATATATAGTTGCGTCTGACACACTACAATATCTCTAAAAACATCGTGGGGTACTCAGCGCAAAGTTGGCAATCTGCGCGCCAGCTTCATAAGCGCAGATTGCAATCTGCGCGAGGGGTGAAGATTGCGCCTAACATATATATGTCCACATTTCTATGTTGGGGTATAAAAACTGTGTTGCAATAGTGCCACAAATGTTTTCAAGGTAATGAAATATAGGTTGCCAGGCAAGGAAACATAGATCCACAAGAGTCCATAAAGGTTGCTGTATTGTAAACAATGTATTCAGATAAGTATAATTGGGCATTGGAAAAATTCTACGATGGTCTGTGATATCACCCAAGCAGACATTAATCCCCCATAATCAGGTTCTACAACATATTCAAGGACAGTAACTTTAGAAATTGGTGAAATATGATGAGATGTTTTGTTTTTGCAATAAAAATGTTCAAACTGATCAGAATATAGGAATTATTATATTTTTCAGATTCATAAACAGATATATTTACCTACTTGTATTACTTGCCACTATAAGTTTGAAAATGATGTGAAACGTCATCGTTCGAACTATGATCCTGAAAAGTAAAGTGAGAAAAATTAATAGAGATGAGAAACAAATCTTTTATAACTGGTGTCTTTAAAGAGAACAAACATTTTTTCTACCAGTACATACAATTTTTTTTTAATTATTTTTTAATATAAGGGTAAATTTTAAAACAATATGCAAAATTGCAAAAATGAATAAGAAGTGATATCTGGTGTTGTATAAAGAGTCGATTTTCTCCACTCTGTAATAATATGCTCTAGTTAACTGCAGTAAAACATGTACTTTTATATCACATAGTACATATATTAATAACAAAAATTCCCAACTGAAAATGTTAAGATAGGTTGCCAGGCAACAAAACATACACCCACAGCCACTAAATCATTTGATGAGTCAACAAAATAGAACCACATAATATTATAAGACATTATAGGACCACATTTCAATGTGGGTGTATTTTAAAGGCCAGTTACGCTTGACCTTTACAGACATTGAAACTGGTATAGTCACATAAATCATAAAATGTCATTTTAAAGAGGATTTAAATTTTCAGAAATCGTTCCCATGAGACAAATGTACCCTTTAAAATTAAGTTGTAAAATGTGGTTTGCTATTTACTTGAAGGACTTAGCCTTATGCTGGTAACCTTTCTAGTTCTTCAGATACCGTTTACCCAGAGTATTGGCTTCTGAAATCCAGGTCCAGTCCAAACTACCGGTATTGTGCCATTTAGATACCACTTCTCATTTGAGTTCACATTTGTATCAAACCCAAACGGAGGAGGACACCCACAGACAATGAGGACGGAAGTTACTCGGCAGGATTATGTTTATTTAAATTTATTGTATTGTCCCCTGGTATGGGTTAGTTTGGGTGCAAAGACCTAATAGTCTCTGTCATTTAGACGAATATTCTACTGTTGAAGACTGGGAAGTTCTGGGTGACCAAGACTTATTGTCATCCATACATTATACTTACATCCAACTGTACTGTTTGGAGAACTGCTCCCGTTCCACCATGTTGATATTGCATTTGGGCATATGGTGAAGTCATGTGATACTAAAATTAAATTGATTTGAAAATTCAGACACATTATTGCTTTATACATTACACCTAGTATAGTTTAAAAGGACCGCCAGCAGATATAGATAGTATTTGGAAAGATACTGTATCTATGGGAATGGGGAGTTGGAATGAGGGAGGTAACTGGTGTTATATATGCCCAAACAGTGATATCTTGATGAACATGTAGCACAATATACAGCTTGATATACAGTGGATTGCAGTCAAATAAAATCTTATAATCTATCTGGTGGCAGTCCAATACCCTGTTTTAAGTTCAGATTTATAGAGTATAATTATCTCAACCTGAATATAAATATAAATTTAATGTCAAAAGGTTAGCATTCAGATGTAGTAAAATGTATAATTATCTCCTCTTGATATATATGTATATTTACTGTCAGATGGTTAAACCACATAATTCATGCATGTGTTAGTAAAATATTGCAAAGGTTCTAAATAATATGTAATCTATGTAATCCAGGCCATGTTGGAAAGACAGGTTGCCAGGCAACGAAACATACATCTACAACATCTAAGTCATCTGAACAGTCCATACACAAGGACAACAGATCATTACTAAAGATCAATTTGGGACTAACACATGGTACAATTTTAATTCAATAATCCACTTGCGCATTGGGGTCTTTAGCTGTGCAAGAAGACCGTCGGACGAGCAGAAAAGCCACAAGGTTGGGGAGTCCTTGTCACATAATAACTTGGGATTGAAACCACGCCAGTTGACTCAGTGACAAACCTTATGATCTAGAGTGCGCACATTAGACCACATAAACAGTGATCAATGTTAACACTTGTGAAATTAATTCTTGAAAATAACTCAAATTTGAAGTCAGATGGGTGATAACTTTAGCATCTAAAGCAAACTCCAATGAATTGATGATGAATGCGGATTGACAAGGTTCAGACAATATACAACCACATTTGAATGTGTTAAAAATGTAGTGAAAGGTACTGTGAATAGATATGTTTAGCTGTCTCTTACCTGTGATATACTTGTTACTCATTGATATAAACTGTAATATTGACTGTTTTTGTTGTTTAATTAGTGAAATAAATACATGTTTTTGTTGTTTAGTTAGCAAAATAAATACGTTTTTGATTTTAATTAGTGAAATAAATATGTGGGTTTTCCTTCTCTGTGGGGTATTTTACAAATGAATTAATAATATTTGTACAGTTAGCCCTGTTACTCTCATCCAATCTGGATATAAGGTTGTATAAAAATTATATCTGTGCCATGTTACTCTGGCAAGGTGTTATCCCCAATACATCAAATTTCTGATGTAAGATGTGTTAATGTTCCCTGTCAAATGTTTGCATTGTGAGCCTGATAAGTTTGTTACTCTTCCCTTTTATATCATGTTTCTGTTTTTAGTCCTGTTGATATTCCCTACTCACTCATAGTTCTAATGTTAAATCATGTTTCAGTGTCCTTTTAATTTGTCCACTTTATTATGTGTCTTGTCAATGTATGTTTATATTCTGAGCCCTGTTATTCATTTTCTGTTGAGCCTTATCATTGAAAGAAAAGTGATATGGTTCTTATTGGTATAGCACCTGACACCCTTAGACCTTCTCAAACTGCCCCAGATAAGTGAACAGCTCTCTGTGCTGAGGACTAGCTCTTCAGTCTTGGGGGCGACACAGTTGTTCATGTGGTTAATTATTTTCTTTTTCAAATCATATTTGTATTGTGAATGAATGAAATTGGGTTTTATGTCCTACCAATGAAAACGGGCCAGACTACAGTGTTTCCACCAACTCTTAATCACATTTGATATGTCATGGGTTGTTAACATGCATGCCAACGAGAAAACAGATGGACCTTAATCTTCTATTCCATTCAAATGACTAAATACTTTTAATTGCCAAGCCCTCCATCCTGTACCGCTGGCAAGCGGGAAACCTAGCTGGAAAATCCATACTGCCATACTCACCCAGCCAAAGTGGCCCCTGTTTGTATTTTAACCCTTCATTATTACTTACATAATCTTTATATTATTCTTCACTAACAAATCATGTTTTAATTGTGAGCCCTGTTACTTATCTCCATTAGATCATGTTTGTATTGTGAGCCCGGTTGTGAGTCTTGTTACTTATGTTTTATCGTGAGCCCTGTTACTCTTCTCATTAAATCAATTTTCTAATGTGAGCCCTGTTACTATTCCCTATTTATATTGTTACTCTTCCCTGTTGAATCATGTTTCTAATATGATCTGTCTTCCTATTTGATCAAATTCGGTTAATCTGTCCAGTTTGCACTTTGAGACCCTTTAGTTAACATCTCTGTTGTCAAACGTCAACCTTCTCCCTCACTCCCATTTTATTTTCACAATTAACTGTGAACCATTCACCCCTTCCAAATCTCTTTGTTTCGATTTAAGCAGATAATGAATTTCCCACTGAAGATGCCAGAATTTTGTCTCACATCTGTCGAACAGACTATTAGTGAAAAATCTTCAGCCAATTCCTATTGTCCAGGCTAACGTGCTTATATGTTTTTCTAGTTTCATTCCTAATGTTAATCTGGTGCATTCATGCCCTCTTTTTGAATACATGAGACCCATTCTACTGAGCTACAGAATTAATTTTAATACAATGTCAGTTGATTTCCCTTTGGAGATTTCTTCAATCAAAAGAATATTGTTTGTCTTGCTAGTGCCATTGCTTTACATTTTAAACATCTATAACATGCAACACCTCTCCTTAAATTCCCAGACCATCTGAGATTAAGTTGTGGGGTGGGAGAACAATGTGCAAACTTCATAAGGGACAGTTGTGATCAGTTATATCATTAGACCATAAGGGTGCGATAACACTTGCACTTGTTTTATATCATCCACAAATAATCTGAAATAATGGATATATCTCTCATAGCAAAAATAAAAAGTATTTGAAAAAGTTCATCTATATGCCATTTTGCTATAGTGTAAACGGTCTTCATACTTTCTGTATGTAAGATTCATAAAACATATCTGCAAAATTTGTTCATTTTTGCAATAAAGAGAGATATCCAATATTTAAAGCTGTCGTGAATGTAAGGCCAACATTCAAAAAGACTTTGTGTTTATTATATTAGAACATTTTAAAAATATATTTCTAAGACAACTAAAATTTCATTATAACAACCACAAAGTGTTTTGAAAGTTGGCCTTTGCAAAAAGAACATACAGGAGTTTTTTGGCTCATTTGTATGGCATTTATTTTTTTAAAAAATCATGCTTGGTCGAACTACAAACTACAAGACCGAGGTCTAATACAAAAAAGAAAAGGTAAATAAACCATGAAATAAAAACACTTACAAACAAATAGGCCACAAAAAATATTAGCATACACAAAAAACATATGCAACTATTTTTATCCAATTTCTAACATATATTCCAGATGTTGTCATAGCTACATTCACAATAAAAAAACACAATCAAAATTTTTTATGGTACATAATTTAGCTTGCACTTTTCCTGATGAATTCCAATGAAATTCCTTAATATCGTTTTAAAACTTAAGTTAAAATCTTCAGTTAAAAATATCATTTTTTAAAACAAAATACCATTAAAAGTTTTGATTAAACATAAACACATAGCAAAAATAACTTTACTAACAACAGTATATCTGATATCAGAGGAAATAATCATTAGTATGTTATTAAATACAATTATCACTTAAAAAAGGACAATTTCTTATTTTCTTGTAAGTTAAAACGAAACAAAAATCTTGAAAGAAAAGGAAAATAAATTTTCCAGATAACGGATTATCATTAATTAACCATCACCTACATCTTGATTCTAATTAATTAAAATATTTACACAATAACTGGTGGACCATCATAGCTGGAATGTTAATCAAGAATCTAGCCAAGTTTTTAAAATGATCAACATATTTTCTTCTAAATTTGACATACTTTTTACATAATTTTTATTAATTATATATATTGATAATTCATTTAAATATCCGATGCACGCTTTGTAAAAAAAACATTAATATATTTTATTCAGATTTGTCTTTGAACTTGATCTATTCAGATCATTCCTTGGTTTTTACATAGCTAGTTAGAAATTACTTTAAGATTTTATCAAAATAGCAACTGGTTATTAAATATCGCCTACAATAAATCTTAACAATCAAAAACATTAACTTTTCAGATATTAATCAGTTGCAATCTTGATAAAAAAAATATATAGGTCTTAATGATGCAAACTGTACATTCAAACACCTTAAACTAGCTTACTTATCATTGATGTAGAAGGTATTAGATGGTAATTTGGAATTATATAGGTAATATACCGTTAAAAAAAAAATCATTAATAAAAATGGACGACAAGAAGTTGGTATAATATATATCGATATGCAAAATTCGTTCCTTTAAAAATCTTGGCTATCATAAATCTTTAATATACGCTTTTCACAATTCTATTTTGATCCACACTGTATCAAAGAGGAAAAAACAACAAATTATCTATTACACCGTTATTATTATGTACATTAACAATTTTCAAGTTTATTACAATTGTAAAAAAAAAAAATAATAATTAAGAAATAAAATAGCAATGAAAATCTCAATGATAATAGAAGTGTGTCATATTTTGATCTTCCCTGTTTAACTAGGAAACCCCAACAAGAAGGACTTTAAAGGTATATTTTGTCAAAAAAACATATCCTTAAAATATATTATGTTTCATATAAAAAAAGAAGGCCCTGTATGTTAATATTGTTGTAAAAACTTTCTGATTTCAACACAAGTACACTGTTGATATATTATATTGTATTTGTAAAAAGTTGACTTTATCCAGACTTTAATAACTCCTGTTGCTCAATATAATACTTCTCCTTTTAAAATCAATTTCTTTAATGGTAGATATTTACTTTTCAACTTTATCAAATGAACTTTTATGGTCAAATTAACAATAGGCTTTTATAGTCAAATTGGTATCATGCAATTATTGATCTTTCATGGTAGAATTCTGAGTTTGCGTATTCATGGTCAAATTTAAATGCCGCTTTTCGCTGTCAAAATGTAAAATACACTTCCCAGGCAAATATAAATTTCGCCATTCATGATAATTTTATTAAGTTCCTTTACACAGTCAAATTGGGATTGTTCATTTTCAAGGTCAAACTGGCATGCCAACATTGCCCTATCATGCCATTTTCAAGAATTCTTTGTGATCTGACGAAATTTGTTTTTAGAATTATAAAAGGAGAAGATTTGGTCAACAAGGGGAGATAACAACCATTAATATCACATGATGTAAACAAACAATGGTATAACAGATTATATGAAGTAAATAAAATTTGTTTATACTGACTGTTTATAGGTATAGGGTAAGTCTAGAAACATAAATTATAAATATATACATCAGTGTATACAAGTATATTCTTTACCATAAAGAGGTATTGCCGAAATTTTAACTTAACAAGACTGGTGGCAAGGTTTCAATCATATCAGAGCAGTATCACTCATAATCTTGTTTAGTGAATCAATCATGATGTTATTCTGAAATTTTCCACTCATAACTTTTAAAAGCCTTTTAATTTGAAAATACTGTTTAAATATTTTCTATGAATTTCCTTAAATTATTTCTTTACCTTCCATTCCTTGTTTTTATTAATTAAAAATTTTAGTCCAATATTCGGCAAAACATCTATTATAGTTTTTGTGTAGAAATAGGTCATATAAAAATATCCTCTGTTTTTCCCATGTTGACTAGAAAGTTGAAAAAAATTGTGTATTTTTTTTTTCTAAAATATTGAAAGCTTTGTAATTTTTATCAATTAAATAGATATATAGTTTGGTGTATGAATGATCAAAGTATATATATATATTAATAATAAGCTTACATTCTCTATTGGTGTTTTTTATGCTTTATATGAAAGATGAACGTGAAAGAAAAGGAATAATATTTATTTGATATCTAGTTGAGTGATTTTGTCTATAGTAAACAGCACCATGGATCGTAAATATAGTGATCATAGATAATGGAATCGAGATACAAAAATGTTATTTTCCTTATCACATAAGTAATAATATTTCCATATATTAAGTTTTCAATAAAAATCCAAAAAAAAGAAAATGAAAAAAAAAAATCTGTTAACAACCATTTAAAAAAAAGGGTTTTGCATAAAATTGATAATTTATATACTCAAATAATAAAAATTGCTTATTTATATGTAGTAAAATTTTAAATACATGGACATACTTTTCAAAAGTCGTTTTATAAATAGAACAATGTATTATATATTAAATTTGTAAAAAGTTCGAATTCTGAACTTGATATTTCAACAAATATTTACAAAGTATATAAATTACTAACAATGACCATTTAATCTAAATAGTTTATATTTATAAAACAGAAAGTCGAGACAAAAAAAAAAAAAAATAACGATCTTATATTAAACCTCTAGATAGTCGATTATGATTATAAGGGGAATAACTCTTGCCAATCAACTGGCTGATAGTGATGATAATATGGTCATATTTAACAATACAGTAAGTAAATAGTCGGATTGATATAAGTATGCTTATAAACAAGAAAATAGACAAAAAAAATTCTAACAACACTCTAGCAAAGAACGATGTCCATGTCTATGACATCGCCTTGTGAATAACATTCTAAAAGCCAGTTTAAAACAGGGAAAAGGGGCGAGGTAGTCATTTTCTTTTTGGTTTCAGAATATTTGCCTATATATGTACTTGCAAATAGATTATATATTATAAATGGATGCGCACAAAAAAATTTAAAAAAAGAAGACTGAATATGAAGTTCTTAATAATTCCCATTAACTAAATATTACTAGCCCAATTATTATATCAGTATTATTACATTATTGGGACCTTATATAATTATTCACTATTTACTATTCTTTGGTAGAAAAACGAAAGTTAATATATACCATAGTATCAGTATTATTTATCTATTCACAGACAGATGGTTTTCATATAAAGAAGAAAAGAAAAAGATTAAATAAATTCTGTCTGTAAAAAAATGCATATGACAGAAGAAAAAAAATATTTATTTTAAATCATCGACACGAATACATTAATCAAACGATTAATTAACAAAAAACCAATTACGGCAATTAGTAACACACATAGCAAATCTATTTACAACATTTATCAATTTTAAAAAAATACAATTGTCTCCAGAGAGACATGCATGCTAAGCTAAAGGTTATATGGTCAACTAAAAATATTCATATATGAGAAAAGAATAAAACAAAAATCAAAAATCATAAAAATTCAACTTGAATTTTGTGCTCATTAAAAATTTACATCACATTAAACCATAGTTCTACTTATTAATTATCTAATCACTTTTAATGTGACAAAAATTACAATCAATACAAAAAAGAGAAATAACTATGTTCATGACCAAGAAAACTCGCAAATAGCACTAACAAATCAACTATCATATAATTACAGACTCTTGTCTCCTACTTACTCCCGTTCCCTTATTTATTATCACAGGCCAGCAAAATATTGGCAAATATAATCTAATTTTTGTTTATCTGACGGTTGTCTTATTGCCCTTCATGTTTATAGGACTGTCTCCCAGGTGGATTTATGCTTGTCCTAGATGTTTATATGCTTGTCCTAGATGTTTATATGCTTCTCCCTAGGTGTTAATATGGTTGACCCAGGTGTGTTTTTATATTGTTGTTTATGTGTTCATATGCAGCTATTTAATAAGGCCGTTTATGTGTTCATATGCAGCTATTCAATAAGGCCTCCCAATGCATTGACATATTTGACCTAGTCATGTTTAGGGTTACTCTCACTCTACCTGAGTCTCCCTCTAAATCTGTATAAGGTATGTTTTATATATGTTTGATGTTAATATAAATAGCCTGAATGTCCTAGGTGTTATTATTGTTCTAGCTGTAACATTTAAATTGTTGTCCTAGGTTACTTGTAACAGGTGTCACTAATGCATGTGTTTTCATGTAACAAGTGTTATACATTTATAAGGTTATTTTATGTTAAATTTCATTTAATTAAATCATTTCTCACAAAACATTCAAAGAGACAATCAATCAAGCAATACTTTAAGAAATTCTTTAAAAATAATGAACAGCTGAGAATTTGGATAACTATTTTAAAATAATAAATCATATTGAAACTCAGTTTTTTCTCCATTTCGATCAATTTTCGTGATTTCATTGAAATCATTTGATAAGAAAAAAAAAAAATCCCAATCACACACCAAATCAAAACTTGAAAATAAATTATTTTCATTTTAAAATTATCAAATTCTCTCTGTTTAAAATATAAATTAAATTGCTGCATGCTCGTCCCCTACCGAATTTGTTGCCAGTTGAAGTTGTCCCATCTGAGAGGTGAGGTGGGGCATCATGGTGCTGGGGTCGATACCCGCATTACTTGGGGGGGCTGGTGATGGGATAATCTGCAACACGACCAAAATTCGAAATGTAAGTCGAAAGTTTGCGATAATTCAAATATTATGAGATCAAAACAAGACCATTAGAATTCAAAAGAAAATAACAATTTTAAAAATTTGTTTTTAATATCAAAGTTTAAAAAATTAATTACTGTTTATTTGCTTGGCACTGTTGACACATACATATGAAGTTTTCAATTATTTGAAATAATGTTAAAAATAGCAAAAAGTATTAGTTTAAAAAAAAACTGTTTTTAAATTCAATAAAACTGAAAGAGGATTAGTTAAATCTTTTCCAAATCACCACAGCAAACAAAGTAAAACAAAAAAAACAATGGGTTGGGTGTCAGGATATATTTCTTTTGAAAATCTTTCAATTCGTATAAAACTGTAGTGTTTGGTTGAAAATGTTGATCTGTTTAGTGCAATATTGTGCGTTCTTTTGGTTTATGTTATGTGCAGCCATCAGATGGGCAAGGGGGCCGGGGGAGCATCATAGAGCATTTTTAAGTGATTGAGGAGACCATTCGGAGCAGCAAAGCCAATGTAGCAGATTTGTTATCATAATTAAAGCAAGATAACTGTTGAACTATTTGAGCGTTTTCTTGGTCGATGAAATAAAATAAGAAACATGTTTGATATTTTTTAATATTACTAGCACTATAATATAGGTTGTCAGTTACAGTTTTTATTTAAATTCTTAATTTTTTCCACTTCATTTCCTTCAAGATTATCACTTGGCTATTAAAAATAAATAAATATTTCCCAGGAATAAAATGGAAGTTGTCTAAGCTGTGAGAGAAATATCGTGAAAATTTCGAAATTATGTATCAAGTGAAAATGGAAGACTTTATTTTTTTGAGTTTGGGTGAAATTAAAACCCTTCTATTTAATATCTTGAAGTCTTTTTGAAATGCTTTGTGATTTTACATTTACACTTTGTTAAGGGAAATAACTCCTTTTCATCTTGTAGAATATCTGTCTGTAGTATTCTACTTTCTTACATACCTCTATAAAGCATTAGAACTTGCAGCATCAAAGATGTTAAATTAAATGCTTGTTGTTATCAGAGTACTATCCAAGATGTGAAAATAGTGCAAAATATCTTAGTGATCTAGACTACAGAAAGACTCTTCAAGACATTCAAGAAAAGGTTTTAAAACATGCTAAAACTTATCAAGTTTGAATGGAAGATCTAAAATTATCAAAATTCTTGAGAAAATGAAGTGAAATGATTTTAAAATCTGAACTACAATAATAAAAAAAAGATATATATTTAAATATCAAGGACATGCATTAATTACATAAATTTGTTGATTATATATGTATATATATATATATAGAAAGAGATTGAAATATCTAAACAAAAGGTATTTGTATATATATATATTTATATTTTATTCTATATATATATTGCTTCTTACAGTTCATGCGTCAATGTACAAAAACAAAATATGCACTAGTGTGATGCCTAACAAAAAGATCTCCAAAAAAAATCCTGAAAACACCAAAGTCTTTGTAAACATTCTTATTGAAATTCAACAACCAAGCGGCTTAAATTTTGAAATTGAAGTACAATTCTTAAGGCACAAATAAGTGCATTTTGTTTCCAGATATGCTCAGTCACAAATGATGTAACTCTTAAAATGTCCACAATACCGTATATTATATTTGTTTACAAAGCATTTTTGGTTGTCATGTGATCTAACACAACGTGAAGGGCATGTTTTTTTTTTTTGCGGACAAAAAAAAGGCAGTAAAAACACACTCTTGACTATAAAAAATTAACAAAGGGACAATAACTCTAAATGCTCCCTAAACCACCCCATTCAGCCATTTGAATTATCTGATATAAAAAATGAAACAAATAGAAAATTAGTCTACCAATCAAAACAGTTGTATTGTAGTTAAAAAATAGATGGAGGTGGTGTTATGTGTAAAATTAAATCAGCCAATTAAAAATGTAGAGCTTTAAGAAGTAGGCCTGTATCGTAGCTAATGGCAGACCATTAAATCATAACATTAACTCTGGGAGTATCAAAACAAAGGGAGTGGAAGCTGCTTCATTCATAGTCCTATTCACATTTTTCAAATTTTCTCAATGATAAATTTGTGTACACCATAACAAAATGTAATGACAATGCTAATACAATTTGAAAGATTCTAAAATTCAGAAACTTAACAATGAGGCAAAAGCCTTTTTTCCAATTCTAGCTCAATATACAGATTTCAATAAGCAGCTTCACTCCCTTTTCCTTTTTCAAACTCTCACAGTCATCCTAATATTAGGCTATTATTGTAGATAAGGTGGGTGATCTTTAAGTAAAGTGAACTTGTGGAATACTAACATGTGGCAACTGAGGTTGCATGATGTACTGTGGATGAACCCATCCAGTCTGATTGGAGGACATCTGATAAGTTGATGCTGGGGTGGTGGCCACAGAGGTATATCGAGGTACCATGCCAGCTGATAACAAAGGATGGCCAGCAACACTGAAATAAAATAAAAATAAAAACATCTTTACCAGGAATTGTTCTTTTCTTATATTCCTTCATTTCATGTAAAGTTTCTCCACATGTCTAATTAGAAGATATCTTTTATTTCTAATTATAAAGAGCTATCTAACTCTATCTAGTCGATTATTTTGTGCATTTACTTTATATATAGGGTCTCACATACCGATCTCTACATTTCTAATTAAGATAATTATTTGGTATATTGACCTTAAAGAACCTCATGAAGCAAATAAGCGATGTACAGACAGCGATTTTCCTTCTGATTTATAGTTCATTAAAAGATTACAACTTTTGTATCATTAGGTGGGACAGAATGTACAATGTTCTAAACCATTAAATCATTTTGTTGTGAAATAGGAGTGAGGCGCTCTTTTTTTCATTCAACATTACAATATGGGATAAAAATGAATAGATAGAAATGAAATGAAATGGGGTTTAACATCCTACTTTTCTGTACCAACTGTGCTGATGAAGACATTGTGCTATGAATGAAATTTTGCCCGGACAAAGGAACTACGGCCATCCGTCTTGCATCACTGACAAGGGGAAACAGTGCCATATTTTTAATAGAAAACTTACCCGTTAAGATTGGCTGCTAGAGCTGGCTGTTCATAAAACTGGAGAGCTTGATACAAATCCTAAATTAAATAAATATTTAGATTAAAATATCTGCACTTTATTTTAGATGAGAGAAAATAGTAATGTCAGAGTCTCAGTCAGACTAAATAGTTTTATTCTTAAAGCTGAATTTTATTTTTTACAACAAAAGTATTTAAACTAATTTTATAGATGTGAATAAAAAAGATGAGAATATTTACATCATCTCTAGAGGCAGGGAAGAGTCTATTTTGTTGGTAAGTTGTTGCCTTTTTCTTATTTCCACTGTCAGCAAATTTTACCACTAGAGGTTCCTTGCAACCTAAAGCAAAATAAAAACAATTGATCATAAAACCATGTTTGGGCAAATCAATATATAAACACATCTTTAACTGTAAGGGATTATTTACAATGTTTGGTACACTTTGCTAAATTAGTTCCAATTCTTTGATAATATTGTCCTACAAAGACAAAAAAACAGAGTTATCTCCCTCACATTGAAGTCTGCCATTGTCCTGCACCAGAGTATAGTAGCTTTATGAAATCAGGTAGGCCTGTTTAGCATTCTATCAGTGCATGTATTATTTGGATTTTACCAAAAATAAAAATCCTCTTGTAGTTCAGGCTGCATTATGTTCAAAGTGTACCACTGGTGAATTCAATGTAGGCCTAACCTTGGCACATTGGAGTTAATTGTTTTTCTTATGAAATTGCTTTAGAGATGTATTAAATAGTCATTAGGTTTTTATTTACCTGGTAATACTTTTTTGTTGAAGTTGTCAATAATCTGTTGGCATTTTTCTCGTGATTCCATTCGGCAAAATCCAACACATTTGCTTTCTCCACTTTGTCCTCTCAGAATTCTTGTGGAAATGACAGTACCATAGTCTTTAAAGAGAGCTTCTAGGTTCTGTTCAGAGAAATATACAGGAAGATTGGCGATGTACAGGTTAGTTGGATCTTGCTCTTGTTGCTGTAAAGACAGGGGCATCTGAATTATAATATAATAAATGATATGGGATTAAATATTATTATGAAATGAACATTGAAGATCATAAACCAAACACACATTAATTTATGATTATGGCAGGGATGTGTACCACTCTTACTGCTGCTAAAATCATAAGGTAGGCTACCATTAGCTATTTTGAATTTTCTCAAAAATATGCGTCAAGTTTGCCAGGATATATTTTTAAAATTTAAATTTTTACATTAAATAATTATCAATCAGGTTTTTTCCCAATCTTTTTCAAAATGAAATACCATAATTTGACCAGACTTCATATTTTTAGTGATGTAAGTAAGAGCGGTGGTTAGTATTCCATTATTTCTTTCTGAATTATTATTAGGCCAAGCCAAATAATGTTCAAGATATATAAACACCATTTATGATAAAGCATTAATATTTATAATGTAGCATTAAAATGATAAAATTATACAGGATAGATGATATTGTGCAGAAAGGCTCAATGTGAATAAAATTGAAAAGCTCTTGCCCAAAATATGATAATGACAAAATGATTGAATTATATATATCAATTAAATAAAAATGACAACTCATTAAGGTATTTACAAATAGATCAGTGCTTTGGGTGTCTTTGTGGGTAGAAAATACATTTTTGATTTGATGTGCTTTAAACATACAGTAACATCGGTAGTGCTCAGATTATGTTTTATGTTCGATGAAATATAAAGAGAAATTGGGTTTAACTCCACTCAGCGCAAAATAATTAATTTCATAACCAACATATGGTAAATTCTTATTTCACATGTAGGAGTCTTTGGTAGGACATGTAGAAAACCTAACAAGCTTAGGATCGAAACTTGACTACATAAAATCACTCGGCCACCCAACCACCATTTTAAATGATGTGAGATAGATCAATATATAAATTTCAGCTGTTTATAAAGAAGGGAAGGTTTGAATGCTGTATCATGTTTTGTAAAAAAGTTCTTCAATTTGAAAATATTCTAACTTTGTGTTTATAAATTCTCATAAATTTAATTTCAATTGAATGTAAACTGTTATTTTAAAATTTTCCAAAAGTCAATTCTGACCCATATACGGTTTATAACTCAATACTTTGTTAATATAGGATTTTATTAGATAGTTGTTGTAAAATAAACAATTAGAATCAATACTTAAACAGTACACACGACAAGAATGGACTATAGGAAAACAGTGGAATTTGTTTTTTGTGTGATATTCAATACTAACAGGCTGACTAATATCAATATTTTCACACACTTGAAGGAGTATAACACAATAATATATAAACATAGATGATGAAGTGTTGTATTTTGTATTCTCATTATTATCTAGATGACTATAGTTGGGGGGAAGTTACTTAATAACATCTTGTTGTCATGCATGGCTACTGGTATTGGTTCTTTATAAAGAATAATAGTAGAAGTACCTTACTGGGAAGTTTTCAATTTTATTCAATATTATATATTTCATATAAAAGATTCTACTTTGTGGCTTCCGGCATCAATAACATCCTGTCAAGTATGTGGATAAAATAATCCTTGAAAGTCTTTAAATAGATCAAAATGCTCTATCCGTGTAGCCGGTATTTTCCTAGTTAATATTTCTGAGATTAACTTTTAATCGCACCATATATTTCAGAAAAAAATCATAATTATTACACCTTCCACAACATTATATGAAATGAAATGGGTTTACGTCTTACAAGTTCACAACAATAAAACAATAAGATCTGACAACATGACTATAATAATAATGCCCAGTTGTCTTATGCCCTTTAACATCCAGCTGATAGAATCAATATTCTATAATTTATTGTCAATACACATAACATCATTCAATTGAATAGCCCTCAGCCATTTCTCCCTAATCATCCCTTATTTAAACATTAACCAATTAAATCACTTGTAACACTATTGATTTAATAGTGTGACCAATTATAGCTTTTGTTACACTCTTGCACATTCCAACCAATTATATCTTTTGTTTAATAAAACTAACCAATTATATCATTCGTTACACTAAGATCAGAAAACAAACATTTTGATCTTATTTTTTATCATTAAAGTGTTAATTATTAAATGTGTATATTTATGAAATGGGTACCATGTTTGCTTGGGGAGCTTAGTTAATAATGTCATTATTAAGGAAATTAAGTATGATTAAAGACAAACAATAACAGGTTGGTAAATGTCCCAGTAGACTGCCAATTCTAAAATACCTTCTCATTTAGTACTTTATTTCACATCAGATTAATTATGTTATGAGACAAATAACAAAACAAAAAACAAAAATATTGGTGAAAAACACTGTTAGTGGTGCCTGTATGTTGTTATGGTGCACATAAATGACCCCTCCCAATCATATTGATAACATATTATTCCTACAAATAAAACCTACATAAACCCTATTTGGGTGCCCTCTGTTCTATTCCTATTTATATCTAAGTAAATTAAATGAAATATATATATTCTCTTGATAATTAGATAAACATCTTTATGTTTACGCAGTAATAACACTATTTATTATCTTATTGGTGACATCACCAGTTCCTAACAGCAGGAAATATATCTTATTGCAAGGTCATCTTGACTCTATAACAGATAAATCTAATAGTGGTCCCATCTCAACATGACCCCAATTAGTGTATTACCTAGCAACTAATTAACCTCTAGCTCTAATCAAGTCAAATGATACTATAGTTTATACATACGGTACTGATTACGGTACAATAACTAATTAACAGAATCAAAGTTTATTTAAATAAATCACTAATTGTGATTCTATAAAGTTTATTGCATACATTTCCTGCTGCCCTGAATAATTCCATTCACAGCTAATCAAACTAAGATAAGCTCTGACCTAATATCAATTTAAATTAACAATTTAATAAGAATTACATTAAAGAGGCAATTTTACCGTCCATAATAATTAATAGATAATTCAAGAATCCCTTCTAACAGTATAATACTAAAACATATTTTAAGTTGAATAGACAGGGGTAGTTTATTCATTGTATCATTTTGGATTATATACAACCCATTTTTGAATGATTTGCCGTGCGAAGTCAAAATGGGTTCCCATGGTCAAGCCCCTGGGAACTCATTTGGACTTCGCTACGCTGACAGCCAGCCGATTTTGTTCCTACAGGCCTGATGATAATTAATAAGAAACTCTTTTGTTTCTCATTATATACAATCAGGGAATTGAACCCAATAGTGACGGACTGAAAATCAACCCACATATGATCAGGTGACTACATACATCACTTATAAGCAGCATAATACAGAAAGTTTTTAATTTAAGTAGGTTTACAGTATTAAAGTTTATTTAAAGTGTTTTACTGTAAGTTATTTACTGCCATGAAAAGAAAGAATGTGATTGTATGGGGTAGTGAATGTTATATTCTCCCAGGTAAAGAATAGAACCAACATTCTATAACATGATAGATTCAATAGATGGACATAAGTGTAATTCTATAGCCTAAATAAGCTTCAATGAATTACAACAATAAACACATTATTCACTGAGATGTAGATATAACACGAATATCTCAAAAGAAGAATATTAAATAAAGACTAGAAAAAAAATAAAATAAAAGTAGCCAAATTCCTGTCTCGTGTTACTCGACTTAAATTGACAAATCGCGTTATGTCTGAAATCGGAAAATAAATTTTAGATTTAAGTGTAATCTTGACATTATCACAGTGAAACTTCTCAAGTAACCAACTTTTATTTCATCAGATGCAGTCATTGTAACGAAAAACAGTATTCAAGTTATTTTATGAATGATACATGTAATACATACTACACTGTATGACAAAATATACATTTACAGTTATTATGGCCTCTCATATCCTGTCTGTTTATAATTCCCTTTTCAAGCTTTTGAATAGTTTAAATGGATGACTGCATTTCAAAGTAAAATTTACAAAATACATGCTAACATTTAAGGGGCTAAACCTCTAACTCAATATTGTCCATAATACATAAAATTAAAAACATGAATTAGAATTCAATATTGGTCCATTTCAATCAGTATTGATGTTGTTATCTTGACATGAAAATATGTGATCCTAATATCCAATAATTAAGACATATTTTATAATCAGTACATGAGTCGTGTATTCTATGGTTTCGGGTGCTATTTATAATGAACAAATGAAATTATATCCTAAAAGACAATGCGGAAGTAATTGGTAATGGCTGATTAACAAACTACAAAATAATAGTAAAAAAATATGTAAAATGCACTAAGCAGATGTAAATGACTGTACATATAAGTGATTAGAAATTACAGCAAATTTGTTTCAAATAGAATATAAATCACTTTATATACATTCATATTACATTAATATGTGCTTTTAGACCCATTTTCGTCTATTTCAAGTTTCCAAAGTATGGAGTCATACATCCTTTAATTGAAAGTGATTCCAATATTTCATTTACACCAAATTCAAGTTTAACAAAATCATTTAAAGATGCATTATGGATTAGACAATGTCTGCCAGTCTGCCATACCTTTGTTAAATGGAAATATGGACGACATTCACAGAGACTGCTGATTCAAGGACTAAAAATTGAGACTTTGTTTATTATTGTGGCAATGGTACTTGATAATCGAGAATATGAACTGTCAATTGGCTCATCAGAGAAAATTTAGACTATTTCTTATTGTCAAAACTTCAAACATTCATACCTTCACTCTGAATGAGTAATTTGACTGAAGTTTTCAATATAGTCATTTTTCATTGTTTATTATAGCAAAACAGCCAGTTCTTTATCTATATCTGCCCTAATGCATCTTTTGCACTGTTACAATACAAACTACTTTTTAGCAATAAAATTTAAGTTTATGGCATTAACTTGAATATTAAGCATTATGTGACCATTAAGATAAAACAAATACTATTATTGCATGATTATTATCTTTTGCATAATGCAATATGTAACAGATGTTTGTAATGACCAGTAAAAGTAATCATGCCTGAAAAATATAAGCTAATTCTTTTGTTTAAAACAAAACTAGTTGTAATTTGTGAATAATTTCAAAATACATATTATTTTGTCACATGTTTCAGTTGAAAATGAACAAGAGACCCAGGGACCTTAATCGCTGATATCTCTCAGTAAGACTATCAATTAAAACTTTATGATCACCGTGATTTGCTTGAATAAAATCAATCAATCAACCACTTTCTATAGTAATTGTTAATTAGCAAGGTGCTTAAGGAAGATAAAGCACAATTATCAGGGGAAAAACAACACAATTATTACTCATAAAACAATAATAATTGAGTATTTTAACTTTTTACCACAAAGAAGTTGACACGACTTTATTCTTCCAGAACGTTCAAAGAATTAATGATATAGAACTAATATTCAATGCGAGGTACTTTATATCGAAGTCAACACACTAACAGCTAAACAAATATCGACAATAGTTTACATGTGTTATAAAATACAATAATTAATCCAAATGATAACACAAATCTAACAGAATAATACAATTTAAAAACACGATCTCGACATAAACATTAAAGAGAATGCTTAAATAAATATTAAATTCCTAACACATAATAAAGTAATACCCTCAGGCTAAACATTTCCTTTGCTTGTAATGAGAATTCCTAACAATATTTTCAATGACCATATGTATGCATGTCCTTATTATCAAATATTATCTCTTATTCAGAGGTGATGTAATTTGCAGAACTACAAGGAATACTTAATATCTAAATATTTTGAAGAATATAAATGCTAAAATTTGTAAATAATCAGACTAGGCCACTTTCAGTTACTCAGTAGGAAAGTACATGTATATGTGGACAAAAGGGCAGACTGACTGAACCAAAGGGGGACATAAAAATAGCTAAAGACCTGCAAGAAGATAAATTTTACTTTAGCTTGGCTGAACTACAAAATATAGAACAGCCGGAACAGGTTTCGCCAATAGAAAGTAAAAGTAGACAGGAAATATACAATGGGAACTCTCTAAAAGGTGGAAGGTTTCAGTATAAATTGGAGGTCAGCATGGCTCCCAACAGCATGAGGGTTTTAGTATTTTCTTGTATTTTAAGGTTCTACAGTGTGTGTAGTCATTGGACACTACTAACAGCCTTATAGTACAGTTTGATTGTTTCTGAGTATATATATATATATATATGCATTTATCAATGTGTTACTATAGTGATTATCTATATGGTGATATATTTACTATAATAGATTCTATACATACTTTACCTCTAGATATTTATATACATATATATTGTTAGTACTGTCCCCCCCCCCCTATAAAGGTCAAAAGGTCAATGCATATATATATATATATATGCTAGGTAACTGGATCACATTAATGAGAGTAGACCAGGTAGACCAGGGTAGCATAAATGTTACACCTTAACAATTCAACATTCTCGTTATCCAGCAACTGTGAATCACAAAAATTTACAACAGAAACTTAATTCTAACTGCCATCTCATTAAAATTCCACAACTAAAAACTTTGATATAAATAAATTATCAACTTAGAAGCTTCCTTCAAGTGGTGTAATACCAAATTCATAGACACAATTTTATAATACACTATAATAATTAAATGAAATGTCAAATATTAATGCTCTTCATCAGCTGTTCATTATTGTCAAATCAAAAATCTTCTTTGAAAATTGAATGGTAGGATGTTAAACCCTGTTTCATTTCATTTCCTTTGAAAATTGGTTCATTACATATACTAAACCCTCTATGAATAATAAGTAACTTAATAAAAAAAATCTGAATTGGAGTACCAGTAGCAGAATTCCACATCTAATTATTTTCATTATTAGATTTGACACACATAACTTATGTTTTATAGACTTGTGTTTCATTTACCTATTTCTATTGTATCTTAACTACTCTGGCAGTTGGTATTACTCAAAGTCCAATTAGCTAGTGACAGGTGTTGTGTATGAGACTGTGTATGGTTACTCTTTCAATTTTTTGGCATATATGTCTGACATTTATTTCTCTATCTTCAGATCAGTTTTGGCACTCAATGATTTAATTTTGGCTCTATGCTCTTTTAGTTTGTTTTAATACTTAATTTAAGGACAAGAATTTCAATAACCCGAAACCTTTGACCCATTCGTGTTATATCATAAACAATTGGAGTGTGCATAGTGTAAGAAGTCATGTGACTTTGTTGTTTTCTAACATGGTTGACATTGTTTATGTTCAGGGAGCGTTTAAAAGGGTATAATAATTATTTGACTAGGTTTCTGGTCTCGGGGTATGTAGTTGTCTTGTTGACAAATAGTCGAAAAGAATGGATAGCGTTGATGAGTAATTAGACATTTTTTAAAACTCCACATCAAACAGAGCCAAAAATTCACGACAGGTCACGCAGCTATCTAAAATTTCTAAAGAAGAGAGTAAACAGTGAGGAAATGCTTTTAAAAGAAGTTAAAAATTTTGTCAATAAGAGAAATTGTTGGTATTACGTTTCTGGTTGCGGAAATTTAAGAGGTCATAAGGTAGAAAGTGGGGTTGTCCTTCATTAATTTTAACCCATCTTTTAAAATGTATAGTTAAAGTGCACATACTAAAGTCTAAAATGAAGAATACGAAAGGGCTCTCAGTTCAAAGGTTTGTCTGCCAGTCAATGTTTCGTGTAATATACTAGTTAGTTTTATTCTGTAACAATTGGAAGACAAAAATAACTTTTTTTTCATTTTCTAATATCTGTGCCAGTACTACAAAATATTTACAGGGCCAATGTGTAATAGAATAAATATGCTGACCTGAGGCATAAGCAGTGGTCATTCGGTCATGACTGGCAAAAAAGATTGAATTGAGAGCTCTGTTAGAATAGACAATATAATATTAAATGTCCTTACACTAACCTTAGCCATCTGAGCCTGGATGCCCTGTGACTGTAAAGCTTGAACAGCTAAATCAGCTGCCTGGGGCGATTCAAAGTCAACGAATCCATATCCTACAAAAAAAGTATAATTATTGTAAAAACAATGCATACTGAAACAGTATTGTGGAACACCCCATTTATTCATAACAATTTAAGTAATAACTGTACTGTGCAGTTGACACTTACTGATTTGACAGTTATCTCTTACAGTTTACAATGTCTGTGTCTTGTTGTCTTGTGGGTATGTGTTTGTCTTTTGGGTTTCTCTTTAGTTATTGTTACAGTATGCATGGTGTGTTCCTCCTTCACTTAAGTTGATATATAGGACTGGCAATAGAAACCTGGTCACAGATAAATGAATATAAATCGACTTGAATACAGTGTCTTAATGTAAATGATCTTTGGTTATTTCTGACTGACAATATCTGTGTGTTATGTGCATCATTTGTCTTGTCCACATATTTGTCTTCTGGGTTTCTGTGTGGTGCAGGTTTTCCTGCAGATACTCTTACAGACCAAACAATTTCATTTAAGCTTCAACCTGTTGGAAATTTTTTTCAGAGAACCAAAGCACAAATTTTCTAAAATTAAAGATGCAAAATGTCCTTCCCAAATTTATTTTCAAGACAGCAGAGCAACCTACGAATAAATTTCTAAGGATGCAAATGAATTATGATCGCATCATTCCAAGATGTTGTTTATGCTCGTTTCTAGAAGGTAGCGTTGATGTGTGAAACATGTAGAAAGAGATAAACATAGGTACGAGTAATTACTTGTGTAACCTGACTGGTATTTCAACTTCATGTTTTTAATCTTCAACCTTATTTAGATTCATCAACATGCAACTACCCTACATGTTAAGTGTTCGAAATAAACCGAGAGAATTTGTACAGCGTCAACGTCGCAAAATGTCACCGGGTTACAGAAAGATCAAAACTCAGACTTTATTGACATTCACCTCAAATTGCTATATTTACTGGTTTTTAAAGGCGTTTAGTAAAGAAAGTGTTCCTTTAATTATACTGTTGAAGATAAACGTAAATATCAACCAAGTTTTTCACTGAGTCAACATGGATGTGTCCTTTTATGATGCCCTTTTATAGGATTGCCTATACTAAAAGCTTTTAAGGTGAATTAAGAACCTTAATAAAAAAAAAAATACAGTAGATCTACAGTCGATCCTAAAAGACGATTAAAATATAAGTAGTTACAGGTTTATTTTCCACTACTTTAATCAATGGCCATAAAAATTTGCTTCACACCCAGTTTGCATGGATATAATCTGATACCTTCAAATGAAATGAAATGAAATGGGGTTTAACGTCCTACTGTTCTGCTCCTAAACTGGGCTAATGAAGACAGGCATACGCCATACCGTGTGCTATGAGGGAAATTTTGCCCGGGCAGCGGCACTATCGCCTACTCTTATATCGAATTCCAACTGCCAAGGGATCTTTTATGTGCATTCTAATGTATACACGGGACCTCGGTTTTTCGTCTCATCCGAAATATTTAGCTGTCCTTGTCAGGCCCTCCGTTCTGCACCACTGACAAGGGGAAACCACGTCGGAAAATCCAGATGAACTTTCTCGGCCAATGCAGGGATCGAACACCCGACTTTCAGGCTAGTGAGCCAGGGTCTAAACCACCTAGCCACCATGGCTCCCTGATACCTTCAAATAATCACAACTATAAATCAGTTGAATAATAATGTTTAATAATAATCTAAGTCAATTGTGTATGACATTTTGATGAGAAGCAATGGTGCGGCGCTATAAGGTATTTTATTAGTGACTGACATATATTTTTCAAGTATATTAATCTAAATTTTGAATGTGCTCAGTTCATTTAATATTTGCTAAAAGGCATAGACACACCATGGTACAAGTCATTTTAATAATCCAAAATTTACTACTGAATGTGGACAGATCATGTCAAATGTTTTCCAAATATATCGAAGTAAATTTCAGGATTAATTTATAAGAGAGTTGAAAAAATAAGCGAAATCTTGTGTGTTTGTATATAGATGGGTTTGTATACTAACCATAAGTACATATACTGACTAGAGTGGTTTTATTGAAAAGAAGAATGGAAATCTAAATATGGTGTTCAAACATTTCATATAAAAGAAGGAACAGAAAAAAAGATGTAGTGATATAGCTTGGTTGTTATTTTTATACTTTATCAAATACTTGTTAAACTAGTTCGACTATAAAATAATAGTTTATATAGTACCATAATACAAAAACCTATATCCTGGTATACAAAAACCAGTATACTAAGATAATAAATTAATACTGTGGTATCAAATTTGTCTATTATGATAATATAAGGAGCTGGATGTGTATGAGTACCTATTACCTACTTTATGGTCAACATATTCTGTAGCTTGTAACCAAGTTCTTAAGAGAGTTACCCGATCTCAATGAAGGATCATCATCTTTTATGTTCCCATTAAAGAGAGTTTACATTCTAGAGTTCATTTTTCATGTTTGTAGAATCTATAAAGTTGTATGTCACTTTGTAGAGCTACCAGTTGATATGGCATTGCCTAGAGCTACCACATGATATGTCATCGTCTAGATGATATTAACAAGATTTACTGTATAATATAGATTTCGTTTAGAGCTACTAGAAGATATTGATATATATGGCATTGTTTACAGCTACTATATGTTATTGGATTGTCTAGAGCTAATAAGATGTTATGAATTTTATTTAGAGCTACTAGAGTCTAGTATAGTTGATCATGTCATAGTTTAGATCTACTAGAGTAGATCATCATGTCATATTTTAAATCTACCTGTAATGTTTTAGATGTACTTGATCACGAGTTGATAATGTCATATTTTAGATGTAATTGATCATGAGTTGATAATGTCATATGTAATAAGAGTTGATCATGTCATATTTTAGATCCACCAGAGTTGATCAAGTCATATTTTAGATGTAAGTATATGTCACATACCCAGGGAATATTTGTCATATTTTTGTCAAAACTCTCAGAACTAGGTATGCATTTGCCATGCCATTTTCTACTTGACAGATAAGAGTCTTAACGCAAATAACCTTTAAATATTATTCAACTCTATAGGGGATTACATTTCTACAGATCGACACCATCAAATACAGGTTAATTATTCTCTTAAGAAAAGAGAAAAATAACTACTTATCATTACCCAAATCAGGCATCTGTTGATAATCTGTGGGTAATCTTATTAATCCTAGACAGGGTCTCGCCATTTCCCCACGTCGTTTAAGTGATTGATACCGTAAGTTAATTAGAAAAGTTAATCAATAATTAATAATGATACACTTACCTTTACACTTGCCGGTATTCTGATCAATAATGGCTTTGGTAGAAGTTATTTTACCAAATCTAAAACAAAGACAAAACAAAGGAAATTATTAAACTTGAATAATTTCTGTCTGGGTTTGGGCAATGATAATGGTTGACTTACCCTCACCATATCTTTAGACACTTGCATATATCCTTCAAAGATCACAAAAATAATAATAGCGATTGACTCGTCACTTGGCGTGTCACAACCCTTTATCTCAGAGCTGGTGAGGGCACAGTGTATATATAAGACTGACCTCCAGTCTGCGATATCACCCAAGGTGGAAGCGAACATTAAGACCAACATTATGTCAAGTCTATGGAAATACTAGTTATCCCATAACACTGTACTAATTTGATCGCTCTATGTCTTCTTTTTTATGGCGCATAGATTTTACTGAGAGAGCACAAATCAAATCTACTTTGGAATATTCCAAAAGCATTGTTACTTAATGACATCATCTGTTGCTGCAAGCCAGTGAAAGATAATATTTTCATTAAAAACAATGACTGGTGGAATACATGGGCATTAGATCATAAGGTCTATCATTGAGTCAAGTGGCATGGTACGTGACAAGGAGTAGGGTCGACTGACCAACCGTATGGCTTTTCTCTGTGCCCTTCAGTTTCCTTTCACTGCAAAATACCCCCTACATGCAGGGAAAATATTGAAATAAAATTGTACCATGTTTTACTTTGTGATTTCTGCGTTTGTGTGTCGTCCGTAGATTTGTTTTGTTTGTGTAAATAATGTGTGGTGCAGTCCCTCTGCACTTACTATTAGTTTATACTGAGTGGACATTAAACCCCATGTCTCGCTCAGTTGAAATGCTAGTAAGTTGATGACCACAAATATTAAATTTTATTCAGATAACTAGCTAACAACATTTGTAAATAAAGGTCTCTAGTCTCCATGTCTAAAAAGATTTTGAGATTTCAAGTATCTGCATGCTTATTAGCAGTAAGCAATGATCATAAAAAAAACATGACCATCGTTTTGTCTCAAAATGACCCAACATTCATCTCCGAGTCCTCAACTAATATTTGTAAAACAGTAGATTATTTTTCCCCCAACTATTCTAATTACAATAGAACAGGTGTAAAAACTGTTACGATAGAAACAAACCAAGATAATTGAATGAAGCCAACAGTGTGAACTTCAGACTGTGAGTACAGTATGTCAATAAATATTCATTACATACATTGATTGGCCTTTACCATATTATCTCCCTTTGACATATAATAAACGGTCATATCGACCTATAGTAAGTGTGCATCTTTGAAGTGCCAAATCCTCATAGTTTTAGCCAATTTTTAGAAAGGATATATTGATGTTAAGTATGGTAGAACATTTCAGTCAGGACTCTAATCAGTATTACATGTATAACAAGCCAACTGTGAGGCAGATGTCCCCCACTTCAATCCCAAAATAAATAGATGACACCTATAAATTACTTGCACATTACTTTGTGTTTGAAAACATTGACAACTCAAATTGCTTATCTTTACTTAGCAAAGCAGAAAATGCTCATCAACAAACTTGCATCAAACTGATGAAACATTTTTGAATAGGTTATTGGGTTCCAAAAGGTGTGATGGACAGACAAACAGGTGGACACAGGACAAAAAGAAAACTTCATTCCTAATACAGATTTTAATTTTTCGTTGATATACTTTAAAAACTCTGATGGGGAAATATTTTCTTCCATTTGTTAATAAGCTTTTATTTGATATTAGAAGCAAATGTTCGTAATCAATACTGACAATTCATGGCAGTTTCTACATCCTTGGGTACTCAAGGATAACAGATTTAATGGCAACTGTCAGGTCATTCCATGATAAATCTTGTACATTACCATGACCAATGTTCTCTTTCAGTCCCATATGATAATCCATGTTTTAAATAAAAAGATAAATTTTCTGAAGAGAATTGTTTCCACCCCCACATGGATTGTATCTATTTTTACTGGTACCTTCAAGTATTATACACTATGTAAACCTAAAGTTCATTACATAAAAGAACACAAATATAACTTTTGTATATACATTGTAGTTGTGTATGCACCTTTAGCAGGCTTATTGGATTAGGTATGACATAAAAGGACATTATTATATTTACTAAATTTAGTCTACAATTATATTGTCTTACTGAAATAATTTGGCTGACTAATTCCGCTCAGATCACAACCACCTTTTAGGTGATCCATTAACCCCATGAATCCATGATTCCCTAAGAATAATGAAGATGTTTAGTAGTTTATGACCCCATCTCTAAAGGTGTGTTTATTGAGATAACTATGGTATAAATCAGTGTAAGATATCTGACCAAAATTATAGTATGCCTGCAAGGTAAACTACAAAACAATGCATTGTCTTCTCCATGATTTAAAATACCCTGAAGCTAAACCCCTAGAATGCACATAAATCACCCTGACAACATGTTAATGTCTCTTCATATTATTCTTGTAAATAAACACCCAGTAAAACATTATGTATATAAAGAGATAGCATTCAAGGGAAAATAAAAGAACACTCTCATAGTTCCACATCTGAAAATGTATTGCACATTCTACATTTAATCAGCCTTCTCTTGGAATTTCTATCTGATTTATTCAACATTTTTTTTAATTCAATGAAATATTTCTCAACTGTTGTGTTTTTTTTATATTTTTTTAATTTTTTTATAAATAAATAAGGATATCTATATTAAGCTAAAATAACACCATTAAAAGTTTTGATCAAGTGTCTCTTTAATTATAATTTAAACAATTATTCATCTTTAGTGACATATTTAATGTAGTAAATGATTTTTTAATGACACATTTTTAAAATGAAAACAATTTTATTACTGTTAAAAAAGGGAACATTCCATTTTCTCAGGAGTATAATTAGACTGTAATAATGCATAATAGTGTATATTAAAATATTTTTATTGGAAATAATTACCCTATAAATACTTTCGTGAGAATGTATCTTTAATATTGCATTTATTCCTCTCAACAATTCTCCCATCCATGACATCTTTATTAAAGAAATGAAGTCTTAAATATAATCTTCACTAGGGGTGGTTACATTAAGAAGCTTTAAGTAATCTATTAAAACTCCTTAATAACACCTTTAATTAATAACATTCTGTGAATCTTACTTTAATAACAACGTGAACCCATCATGAATGTACATGTATAATAATATTACATCAATCTTTAAGCTCTTTGAATACCTGGCTAGTCACTAAAATTCAAAATATGTGAAAGTGGGCTGGGTGATGAAATAGTTTAAATTTAAATTAATGACATTGTATAATGTTATATTTTTTTCCATCTTGTCATTGCTACACATCACAAGACAACTTTATCATACTTATGTTGTAAAACTTTAATATAAAACATAGGTTAACATGTGAATAAGACAAGACTGAGAGAAGTTATAAAATACATGACCTTACTACATATATGCAAGACACTTCCTAAATATTACCATGCAAGTTAATTTGTGTCTGGACCTTGATAATTTAATTTGTAAATTAGACAGTGGGTGAAGGCACAAACTTACAGAAAACGCATCTAATATAAATCTGCTTTATTTAATAATGTGGATTTGTGGATTACCATATTGGATGTTATGACGCCCCATAAGAACCCATCCTGATGCATTTTCTTGGAACTGTAATTTTAAGCACCAATCTTCTCATGGTAGAAATAATGTAACATTTGCTTGCTTAACTAACAGCCATTAAAGATAACCCTAAAATAATTTGTTCACATGTATGTATTCAGTTTTTATTGCTGGATTCCATCATTTCAGCATCCTTTCTTAGATAACTTTTTTTCTCTTATTTTGTTGCCAGGTACCTGAACAAAGATTCATTCCTATCCAAGAACATCAAGGCCAAAATGGAATCTAACTTATTTTTTGCTCTAATCATCACGACCCAAAGAACAAATTTGTTAAGACTTGGCCTTCTAGTTCATTGAGTTTAATATGTAAAATACAGTAAACAGAATTCTAGAGAATATTGTGAATAACCATATGATAGTCTCTAAAAAAATCTTGTCATTACATGTCACTGTCAATAAAATAAGATACTATCACTTGTATGACATCTGACCTAAATAATGACAAATGGCTTACTATATATATATACATGTCCATACTTTGGCCTCTAGTCTTTTATATGACCATGCAATATAATAGAACACTGAATATAACCATGTGTGATATTACAGAAATGAATATAATATAATAATGTAAGTTTAGTTATTGTCACAAACTTTGGTATACAGCACGTTTTACCTACATTTAATACAAAGTACATATAGTATCTTATATCCATATATACCTACGTCGTCTCATATATTAACCCATTTTATTGGTCACTTATATCACTATTTGCTTACAGTTATCTATAATCAAATATTTATGGAATAGAAAACTTGGAATCATAGTTGACCTTCGCCATAATTTCTTGCAATTTACTTTGATAGGTATTGAAAAATCTTGCCTGTTTCAGACATTTTAACTTTTTACATGACGTGAATTCTGTACTACGTATATTGATTGGGGATTTAATTAACCATTACAAAACACAAAATAAGACCAAAAATTGGCAAAATTGCCCATTTATTTATATCTATCAACTGAATATTACAAAAATAACATCTTGATTTCTGCATTTGTAGTTTTCCCTGACCCAATTCTTAAAGCAACACCAACTTATAAATAGGACAAATTATTGATTTTAGCTTTATATCCAAATCTAAAAATATCCATGAACAAATCTGGCGATTGAGCCAACTAAGTTATATCTTTGTCTCGCCATGTTCCAGGTCTGGATTTGTCTCGTTATGTCAACATTTTAAATCACTTTAACACACAATTTAATTGATTTTTTAATTTGTTAAAATTTGGTTTTAAAGCGTATTGAGTGAAAGGGTCATTAGAAAACGGAGGATATTTAGTGTGGCGCTAAATTAAGTTTTGTCCTGATCAATCGAAGCTCCTTTTATGCCACTTTTATGTCATCATAATTGTGTTTGTTGCAATCAATAAAGGTTTTTACTGTTGGGATTGGGAACAATGTTATAAAAATGTTTCAGTGGTTGATAATAAAATTATATCAACAACCAGATATCATGAAATCTTTTTATAGACTTTCATCTAGCAGAAAATATAGTTATATCTACTTTATGGTTTTGTGTGAAATGAGAGAATATTGCCAAAAGGCTGTTTTATTTAATTCTAGATATAATTCAATAAAATGTGTTTAAAACAAACAAGAACATTGACCTGGTTTAATGATTGCACATTCAAACTGCCTGAAGGACAGGTGTCTTTATTTTTTTTTCTTCCCATTCTGGTTGGTTTTGTTTTTAAATTCAGATTGTTTTACTCAGGATTTTGACAGGCATTATTTTAATATTCTAACACGACGGTGCTCTCTTTAATATTGTAAATGGTGTGTACTCCACCTTACATGCAATTTTGATCAACAAAATGGCCATTAAAATCAATTTTATTCTGCTCTTGGCATAAATTACACATTTTTCTAACAATTAAAGAGTAGTGAATAACAACTCAGTCAGTGAGATCATTTGTTTACAAAATTAATTTTGTTAGCTAATTAAATTAGATTTCATTGTGTAGTATGGGTGATTTATTCTCTATGCTGTATGATCGAGGTAATAATACGACAACGGCTTTAAGTATTTTGAGATATCGAACAAGTAATAAAAGCGACTTGACTAGAAAAATGTCATTTATCATGAATAATTGGCTGGAAGGAAGAGTCTTTGGACCACAGAGAGGAAATAATTCAGTCGGAATGGTCGAATTGTTGTAATTAGACAGTAACTTGAGAAGAAGGAGGAGGATTCTCTAGACATATTATCATATAATTTATTATTTAGGCGGCCCACTCTTTACATTTGTCTTTGATATGATAAACAGAATGATTAGGTTGTATAATATGTAACTAACGGTTACTATAGATATCAACGTATTATCTTACACCATGTTTGTTTTTTTTTACATTTATCATTCCAACTCATTAAATAACAAAATGAATTATTGAATAGAAATGAATGGAGTTTTGTGTTACAATGGTATACCAGATACTTTCCACAAGCTACTTGGTTATTAATTAATCATCTCAATGTTAACCAGACATTCAGCCAAGGCACTAGTTTCATATTTCGTCCTTATAGGTTTCTGTGATTGTGATATGGAATAACACCTGTTATGTATATATATTAAAGCTATAAATTGTACTTACTGTTGGCAGAGATTAACTAAGTCTTTATCGGACGTATTAGGATTAAGGCCACGGATATAAAGATTAGTTTTACTGAGATTTTCTCCGGACAGACTCTGACTACTCGACTGGCTGCTGGTGGTATTAGGGCTGGCAGCTGGCATGTTGCGGGTTGGGTAGTTCTGAAATATACAAAGTAAATCACAAATTATATTTTTCTAAGCAGACTTTTATATTTTTTGGCATTAGTAACCTCAGATTTTGGTAAGTTCCCAAAGAAGTGACAAGGACTATTTCTCTAGAAAGGGGTGTGTCACTAAATCATTTGAATCACATATGCTTGAGGTTGTCTCAGATATTGGTTACATTTGACAGACAGGTTAATGGCATCCTAGGCTGTCATTTTGTCAATCAAATGTTTGGGAACTTTGTGCATTCAAGCCAACAAATAAAATTCAATGAAATCCACAAATTCACTAAAAGAACTTTTGATTGTTTGTTTTCTCCATATTGTCATTATTATTTTATTTATCAGAATTATGCATATAAAGCTATCATATCTGACCAACTCGATTAAAACACATGTTTCAATGAACTCAAACATATAATCATTCCTTCTAAGGTATAAAATTCACCAAGAAATGAAATAAACAAAATATCAAAGAATAAAATCATAGATAAAACCAACAAAATGTACCACAAACTCATTGTCTACATGAACAATTCTTTGACTACACAAACCCAAGGAAATAATAACCATATTACCAGTAACATACCAAAAATTAAACCAGGATTTCACAAACATCCCTAAATTTAACCTTTAATGCATAAAAGGTCAATCTTTCCAGAACACCTTTATAAAATTTATATAAAACCTACCTTTATAAAGTTTAAGTTATACTAAATAATCCCACAGAATTTAAATAAATAAGCCACAAAAAGTTCCTAACTAGGAATCCACACACTAAAACTCCACTAAATTGACCCTATCACTCCACAAGTGGTCAAGCTATCTGTGGGTCAGTTTGATATGGTGCTGCTAAGTCACTCAATGGTCAACACAGTGGCTACAAACAAGCTGGCAAGTTGACCCATAAATTTCTGGACATTAAATGACATAAGAGAGCCCTACAGGTTATAGTCAGGTATTATGTCATCCTTACAATAGAGTCTATTAATCTCAAGTTTATAGTAAATGACCCCAGGTCAGTATTGGCTTTAGTTGGGCTATTTCTATATACACAGTTAATCAATTTATCATTAAATACTGGGCATCTCTTGTCAAACTTTGACCCTTCATCAATCTATATAGTACTACAGTAATCTTCAACTTAATCCAATAGTTCACCAATTCATAAAATACAAATCCTCATTTTATTTTAACAAAAGAAAATGAACCATTATTTATATCAATTTTGCCACTGACTTTTGCACTTGAACCTTAATTCATCAATCGCTCATCCAATTTTTCATTTTAAAAAATATTTATTCTCTTTTTTCATTTTCCTTGTCAATCTCTTCATCATCTAAATATGTTTCACTTGGCTTGATTAGTCCATAATAGTAAACTGCAAACCATAGAACTTTTTCTAACTTATCTTAAAAACATCAAATATTAATAATATTTATCTAATCTTCTTTCAAACTTTAACCTAAATACTATTTGTATCCCAGAATCCATAGATCACTAAAATAAAGATAGGTTGCCAGGCAAAAAAACATACGCCCACAGCAGCTAAATCGTCCGGGCAGTCAACAAGAGTTGTCGCATATTTTTACTTTTGTCGGTAATGAAACATTTATAATACACTAAAATCTGATTAAGAGTAACAACTCATTTGTTTGGCTTTTAGTTCTGCCCCATGCTAACGTTTAGTATACAAAACATTTAATATCATGGATTTAGCTGTCCAAATTATCAAAAATCATTGCAAATTAATATACTTGTTCGTCTCAAGACCTTAAACTCTGTGTATCAATCTAAAGTCAATCGAAACAATTACATATAGGCGTTTTCATCTCATGACCGTTAACACAGTGTATAAATAGAAAATCAATTAGATGATAACTGTGGTCTCTAAAGCATCCACAAGATTTTTCAAAGTGATTAAGGGCCATAACTCTAGCAGTAATTATCTGAAAAATCAATACTCTTCTTCGTCTCATGACCTTGTTTCATGACCTTAAACAAGGTGTATAAATTTAGAGTCAATCAGATATTAACTATTAGCCTCTTGAGCATCCACAAGTTATTTCAAAGTGATCAAGGGCCATAACTCTGGCAGCAATTATCCGAAATCATTGAAAATCAATAGGATTCTTCATCTTAAACACTGTGTATAAATTTCAAGTCAATCAGATATTAACTTTAGCCTCTAGAACGTCCAGACCGACAGACTGACAGAGGGACAGGAGCAACCACAATATACTACCACATTTTAATGTGGCTGGATAAAAAGTCAGTTTTAACTCACTTTTGGTTTTATGGTTATGTAACCACTACTTAATTTAAAATAATTAAATTTGACTACATGCTGGCTTGTCCTAAATATTATCTTTGTATTTGCAGTTTATTTTTAAGGGAAAGATACAATATTGAACTGTAATTTGTTTAAAAAGAACAAGATATTCATGAATTGTAACTTGTTTTTAAATTAAGAGATCATATTCAACAGAAACTTAGTTTTCAAAAATAGATAATATTCAGCTGTATCTTGTTGGACCAGGCGAAAAATGCCTAAGTCTCCTCAAGTACGATCGACATGAAACTTGGTATGTTTGGAAGAAATTTGATTCTTGACATGATGTCAAAATTCTAAGATGGCTGTGATGGTGTCATTATTGGTGCCTGGCCCATATAGTACATTCGTACTTGTTTTTAAAAAAGTGATCATGTTCAAATGGAACTTATTTTAAAGGGATCATCCCAATTTTAACAGTCTCAGAAATAAAAGTCTGTGTACGTATGAAATTAAAGAGCCAAAATAGAGAGGAATGATGTATTCACCTTGTCTCAAAATATCAGCTCAAAGTATTTAGGCATTTGGATGTGAATGTCAAAACCGCTTATTCGGACACGTAACCCTTTTAAGATTGCAGGTCAATTTTTTCATTGGGTGACCTGCTAATCTATTGCCATTCCTTTCGAGGTCCATACAATGGATGATCCACATGCTGTACTTGATAATGAAAGGTAAATTTCACCTACACATTATTTTTATAAAATAAAAGTCTGGCTTTATTCACGTATAATACAGCTTTGGACACTGGTCACCATTTCCAGATGAAGACTGACAAGATTAAGTTGTTTGAAAATGTATCGCGTATATTGCATGAGTTAGAAGATTTTAAGAGATTTTAACACAAAATTAAGTAGTTTTATTCTCCAAAATATAATCGAGATGGGCCCTTTACGGATCATTATCAGCCTCTCACTGATTTTTCATAAATTTCAATTTTCCACTTTTTCTCCTCAAAAATCTTTCCCATCACAGACAATATATTCAACTAGGATAGGAAAACATAATGGGATACAAATCAGTCAGTGTCTTAAATGCATATTTTATCATAAATATTCAAAAACAGATTTTAAACCCAAAGACATAAATTATAATACTATGACACACTATAAATAAATGATGTAATTCCATATGAAAACACAAGCATGCCACCCTAACCTGACCATTAAAAAAACCTGACATAAATATTAATCTATGTCCAATCTAATTCCAGCTAACAAATTCCCCCCAGCCAATACTATACATCATGGGAAAACCCTCTAACCAATCAAATCAATCAAAACATCAATGACAGACAGACAATAATTCCTATTGCTTGAGGGTTAATCTAAAAGTCAAGGTGCATAAGATATATGGTTATTGTTCCAAAAAAGATCAAATCACTTTTCACAAAAATCTGGACAAAAAATATCAATAAAGCTAAACTAATTTTTAACAAACCTTGGGGGAACATGTACATTTAATTATCTATCACATATCTTAATAAAGATACCAAGTCACATGGGTATATATGTACATGAAAAATATTTATATCTTCAAGCCATATTCAAAACAACATGTAGACATCTTCAACTCTGTACTTCTATCATTACAATAAAAATCGTTAGCTAGAAAGAGGAAATGAAATGAAATTGGGTTTATTATTGTCCCACTGGTCGACTACTACTGGGCTAATGAAGACGGGCATATGCCATGCAGTGTGCTACGAGTGGAATTTTGCCTAGACCGGGCGATATGACCTACTCTTACATCAAATTCCAAGTGCCAAGGGATCTTTTACATACACACCAATGTGTACACAGGGCTTCAGTTTTTCATTCCATCTGAACTAGACAACTGTCCCTGTCAGACTCTTCATCCGGCGCCACAGGGGAAAAAAACCTGATGAACTTTCTGTGCCAACACCGAGATCTAACACAAGACTTCCAGACTAGCAAGCCAGCATCTTACTTACTTAGCCATTGTGGCTCCCTTTAGAAAGAGGGATAAAGTTAACTGGGTCATTTGGGATTAACGTATGGTATATAAAGTCCTTCAAGTCAGACTGGGGACTCTACTCCCTGTGACATACCATCCCATGACTGAACCCATGACTTGCACAGATAATAAGTCTCATCATACATTAGAAAGCATATCTTGCTCCATGTGTAACACAAAACTTGTTTTTGCACAATAAATCCAATCAGGACTAAAAACTTCAGAAACAGAATCCACTCATAAAATTTTAATTAAAAAATCCGCAATGAACAAACTTATTTTTTTTTAGAACATTTTAATAAATAAGTGCCATTAAGAAACTTTGGTAAAATGTTCCTCTCCATAATAATGAGTCACAGTATACAATGTATCATGTATTATTTAGTTTGGCCAGCCTATATACAGTGTTCTATGAATATTCATGTCTTTTGAGTCATTATGCGACACATTAAGGTCATGTTTATACTGGAATACCCATCATGTGACCTTTAAGATAAGACCGGATATTTTCTTTAGGTAAATTAGTCTAAAACAATAGTACAGAAAACATTTACTTTATCTAATCATGTTTATTGTTTCTTAGATTTGGTTAATTTCTTGGACATCAAACTATGGTTGCTATTTCTAATTTACAGTGAGGAATGATGCCAAGAATGCTGCAATACAATGAGATGAAATTAAGTCTG